TGTTCAAACGACAATCACCGACGCAAGCATCTTTGATCGAATCCAATTTCGGCGTCGTTCGAACGACAATCATCGACGCAAGCATCTTCGATCAGGTTTCATCCGAAATGAGTATCTTCTTCTTAGCCCGCTTGGCTTTAGGTTCATTCGGAGCTAAGCTACGGTCTGCTACTCGAATCGTACTCAGAAAGCACCGATACCAGCGCGGCTTCTACTGATTCATCTTGATTCGACGATTTATCGCAGAAGGAAATACGTCCGACATATAATATTTCGTTAAAGCTTACTATTATCATTCGTTACATCAGTTTCGTGTTTTCTTCGAGTTTTCTTGGCTCTTACCGAACGATTCTCGGGAAACATCGATACCAGTACGGTCTCTACTAATTGAGCCCCCTTCGACGATACACTGCAAAGGAAACTGTCTTTGATAATTCATAAAAATCACTTTGTATTCTCGCTGGACGACGATACATCAGCTGACTTCGAAGAATTTTCAATCTGTGCAATAATACTTCACCACACTTTTCCTTGAGTTTCTTCGGCCCTTGACGCCTCTTACAATAGCTGCGTTAATTAGTTGATTTCCTCTGGAATAGGTAAAGATTCTCGGCAATAGGTGTAACACGATCTTGCTGCGCGGTGTTAAATGTGACACCCGTTTATTATTCTAGTGCGGTGTATACTTATTACTCGGCTTCGCAGCAGTGGTCAACTTTTCTTTTCGCAAGGATATACTTTCCGTTGAGTTTATTAGTTTTCAAACCGTTGTAGAGTTTTTTCAGTATTTCACAAAGAGTGAAGGGCAACTGGCTTAGTCTTAGAAATCGTTAATTACTTTTTGATTTTACTTGAATCTCTCGTGGACTTTTGCTGTTTTTCGAACGCAAAACGCAGCACAGGTACTGTATCCAGCTTTCTCGACTCTCTTTCCTTTTTTTTCTCTCTTGTTGGGAAACAGTATCACATCTGATCAACAATCTTCGTTTGTTCGGTAAACGTAGGTGAACCTCAGTTCGCTTCGATTTTTGGAAGACTTGAAAATCGACGTTGATACTGGATCTCTAATATGATTTAAGGGAGTCGTTACTTAATCACTGCTTGTTTATACTCTGTGTTAGTCGGGACAACCGACAGATAGAATCATGGAGTTCGAAACACGAGGACTCATCGACTTTTGCTTCGCTTCGAGCCAGCTTCCTAGAGCTAGGTATGATTTTAGAAATGTTTGCGTCACAGATTTATAAACGCCGATATTTTACTGTTCTATACACGTTAATATCTCATTAAGTTAGTATAAACCTGTACTGAGTTCTAAATGTTATGGTATTGTTATCTTCTTACTTTTATCTTCGATATTTCATTCAGCTTAAAACACGTATGTGCTAGATAAATCTTTTAAAATTATTACAGCCCAAATGTGTATAACTGTACTGTAAATTAAGTTGTATTAAATTTACAGGAAGCCTAAGTATGTTTGATTCGCAGTAGTATTCTACTAAAAATTATATTTTAACAAAGGGCTTAAATTCCTCGCTTTTTATTCACCTGAAATAGCCGTTGAAAAGTGGAAATTCTCATAATATTTGCAACTCAATAATGCATTTTCATATAAGACCACTATGTACCTTATGCTTATGAATACATATTTTTAACACAGGTACACAGCTTTGTTGTCGTGTCAAGTACTTACATATCTGTTACACTCTGTTTTTTTCGTATTTACTGTGAACGTTAACTGTGGTGTGGTTTTATTGATTTTCTATCAATATTCCTACCTAATCAAAGTACTATTTAAATACCCGGCGAATAAAGTGTATGAAGTGTAGTAACTACCATATCGAGTCCTTTCGTAAAAATGGTTTTTTATTGATTAAGTTTTGTAAAACAAACTTTTATAATTATTCAATGATTCGTTGAAGGAAAATCGATTTGAATGGTATAAAAACTTTTATAAGTAGCAGTTAATAACACCTCATTTCGTTATTTACACATGTCTGTGTACGTCATGTACGTTGTATGGGTTATACACATTATATTCAATGTTTATACATGTTAAAAATTGCACATTGATAAAGCAATAAGTGACCAGCTTTAACTGTTGGTTCGTCGGAAAACAAAATTTTGTGTGACAAGACTTTATCTTGTATTTTCAACTCACTCGTAAAGTTTATAACATCTACTTCAACATTCAACGTAATGCGTTATTTCTAAAAATCTTGAAACCTTTTATTTATTATTAACATTTCACATATTTACATTGAATTTATACAAAGAAAAAAGGTATATATATACATATTATACTATTTATAATAATTGTTTATTACAGGACTATAGATATGTTTGATGGAAATCGTGAGATGAAAACCTGTGAGCTTCTTGTAACATTTGATCTTATTTACGATCTTTTATGAAATTTATCCATGCATTTTTATCTATTGATCTTATTGTGAACAGTGCACGTGTGTTTCTTTCCTTTAACCCTCACGACCAAATATTTGTATTAATTCTGTCATCGTTGTTTTAATATAGACAGTATTAATAAAACGGGTTTCTATTTCTTTTGAGCACATTAAGTATCTCAGGTCTGACTATCACCATTTCTGTTGATAACAAAAGATATTAGCGAACAGTATAATTTGATTTGAAGGTGAAGAAAGAAGGAAAGTATTATGTTGAGCAAACAATTTCTCTCAAGGCCAAAAAGAAAATAACTAAAGTGTTCAAAGTAATCAATACTATTTAAATGGAAGTATAGAATTATTAATGTATCAATCGATACTGCCTGCCACACGCTCTATAAGAAAGTGATGAATTATTTGTGCTAAAAAGGTGGTAGCGTAGATCATATTTCATTTATTTCATTAGTATATGTTGATAAAAAACAGATTTTTTCAACAAAAATTCAGCGTCCGACGATTTATGAACGTAAGGTTACAATTCGCTTTAAAAGTAATTTGAATATGTTGTAAAGATTTCAATATATTTATTACGGCAGATATTAGAAGAGATATAAAACAACGATTATAAATAAGAAAATAATCTACTTTTCCCTTTATCTTCTATTTTTCTCGAAACTACGAACGTTATAACTGATCAAATATTTTTGGATTATTATGGATACTTCGGTCAAAAATAATTTTCTTCGAGTTGCGTATAACCTCTTAACACGTTCAGTGTCATGTGTACCACATATGGTGCACGCGAATTTTTGTAAGAAAATATTTTTAAGGGACACATGGTCAAGAATAACGGTATACGTTGCAAAGCAATGAAAACATAAAGAAACAATATCAAAATATATGAAAATTACCAAAAACTTGAATATAATTTAATATTTTATTTAGAACATCAATACAGTTCATAAGCAAAATATGACCGAAATTTCCATGGTACAGAACGTGTTGAATAATGAATGAATATTGATTGCATTACAAAGCATGTAAATATAATACTGAAGTTATATTAAATATGAATAAAGAATCTCTACTAAACAGATTTTAGTTGTGAAATGTTATTAATATAATTAATGTAAATGAAAAGAAAGTATAAAGTGTGATTTATTGTTAGTGTTATGTTTCATTGTTAGATTACAAGGATTAGTAACGATTGAGTAAAAGGTTTAAGGTCGACATCCAGACATCTTAGTTTTAATCCGAGTTTAACACACTCATTTCACTGTCAACTGGAACCTCATAAAATTCATGTTAGTGTCAGCTAGATCACCCGAGGGTTAAAAATATCTTGAATGGCTTAAAAAAAAAAGAAGAGGACATCGATGACCCAGATAACCTTGTGAAATATCAGTACAGAAGACAATCCTTTTTATATATCACCCTGCCTTTGCACTTATGCCACTTGTATTCTGAACATCTTACTATTTTCAAATTCTAAACAAAGTTGTTCTTATGTCCTGTTTTCAGTGGTCGATAAATTAAATATAACTAAATTTTTATAAATTTTATGCACCAACAGCAACTGCAAACAGTACTGCTATTATAATTATGAAACCCACGACAAAAAACACTGACTGTTAAACCTCACTTTTCCCAAATGAATTCACGAACATTTGTATTTACACTAAATTGTATAAATTGTATAAATTTACCGAGATTTCAAATGTTTCGAGTTTCTCTTTCTCATTCAATTAGTCAACCATTTTTAAATATAAATTGTAAAGTGAGAACTGTTTACCTGTGGTACATTGAAGATTAATTTATGTCTGTATTAGTCGAGTACACGTGTAAAAATAATTTTGACATTAGAAAAGTTAATCTCCAATTGTACATACTTTGTTAACAAAGCAAACTGTTTTTTACTCCACTAAAATATCCATCGTTTTGTTATGTCATACAACTCTTTTTTCAATCCTTAAAATCCGCAATGAATGAACGGTGGAAGTATAATTTGCTGCTTCAATACTTAAAGTGCTCATAGTGTCTTTTGCATAATATTTAATGAACAAATTTTCGATTATTACGCGCTCACCCCTCCTCTCTCTCAAGTTTTGTCAATTTTTTTACGGGCATATAAATAACTACGTACTGTTGAACATTAAAATATATTGTGTCATAATTTACTAATATACTAATCGCACAATGTCGATGTGCGCGTATTCCCGTTTCCTGTATCAACACGGTGACCGCCAAATCGCCAGTCGCCAAATTATTCATACAATCAAAGCAATTTTCCTAACGAAACGAAAACTAAAAAATAAGATTCTCCACGGCGATTGCTTTCTTCGCCTCCTCGCATCTTATAGATTCCGACAAATTCGGTTTGTTCGATGTGTTATGGAGAAAATGAGCTTCCAAAGCCATAGACAAGTATTGTGACACTGGAATTAGGGTGACACAGCGGTCAAAATGTTGATCGATGAACGTTACTTTGATTTGACCTTGTACAGCACTTCAAGACGCACAATCCCAGCGATTAAAATTGTACAATAGCATACAGTTTGTCGGGATGGTGTTGACTATACGAATTTCTGGTTGTTCCAGGTCTGCGGGGTCCATAGGAGCACGATCGGCGCCCAGCACGCCTCTTCAAGTAGCCCCTGGTGGGCAACAAGCTGGCCAGCAGTCAATTAGCGGCTCTCAGCTCACCGCAGCTGCTGCGAACACTTCTCAGCCACCGAGGAGTCCGAGCCACGCGGCCTTGAGATGTAACGACAGGTAAGGATCTGGTCAAGTTCGTAGCCAGGAAAAAGCGGACAGGAAAAGAGCGTGCGCAAAAGATGCACACAGAAAAATTGGCACACGTACGAAAGCGCACGAGCGAAAAACTTAGAGAATAGAACAAATTTTAAAATCTGATAGAGAAGAAGAACAAAGTCATGAAAGGAAAAATACTGGATGAGGTAAGATAAGCTGGCGTTTTGATAACACGTTTCTCTGAAGAGCTCTTTACGCACCGGCGTCATGTACGTATTAGCGTAATTAATAATTGCAGTGTATTTATGGATACTATTAATCCTCTGTCGGTAATATGGTTTTCCATTAACGTGACCAGTAATATGGACCTTTTATGGATAGGTTTGATTTTTTATTGTTCCGAGTTTTCTAAAAGTCTAATAAGATTCTGAGACATTTATTATAGTTCCTAATTTAATGCACAAGATGACACATTTAGCAAATTTTCATATTATTTTTTAATCAACGTGGAAAACCATGGCGAAGCAATGAGGAAATAGAATTTCCGACAGGCCTTTAATGGTGCGTATTGTTCGCGTTAAAATACGTAGGGAACAAAAGCAGCAGATTTTAACGGAAACAATTGACATGTAGTAACACACGACCATCAAATCTGTGGTCTGAAATCAGTTTATATCTCATTTGAAAGCAACGGTGCAAAATCACATTTTACGTGACAGCGACCAAAGTGTTAACAAGGCGCGTTAGATCTAGAAGTGCTGCTAGATTGCTTGTTGGGGAGGCTCAGGCTTTTTGATTAGTTTTCGTTCTTTCTCAGCTAATTTTCTGTCGGTTTTATTTCCTAATTCCGGGTATTTGCGATCATTAATTTGCTATTCATCAATACGGTTGCACGTAGTGAATTAAAACTGTAGAACTGTAAATTAGAAAAACACCTCTTGCTCCTGTGTCGTTCTGCTAGACATCAAGTCATCCCCCAACTGTGCATATGTCAATAAAGGAGTAAAGAAAAGAATGATGTAGCTTGAGTTAAGATAATCGTGAGTTTATAATAGAGAAAGGATAAAAAAAGATGTCGGGGGAAGTGGTAAAGAAACTGTGGAAAGGTGAGGATATGCTACAGAAACGGAGGAAACGCGTAGTCGTCTGTATAATTGCATTAAAGAAGAGATAAAATGATTATAGGTATATACCTTGGAGAACTGAAAGCAGTGCAGGCTAAAGATATTAAATAATGCGTAGGTTTGACTACATAGGCGTATCTTGAGTTATACAGCGTTGGAGGAGACAGAAAAGGAAAGGTTAAGGACAGTGTTGGGCGAAAGTTATTTGAAGTAACCAATCAAGAATGACGAATAAATTCAATCTGATTATTACTTTCGAGTAAAGAATAATTAAAAATGTTCGTAAATTGAATTTACTTGTTACTTTTTATTCATTATTTTACATAGATAAATGATGATTTTAATAAAACTTTATTTGAATAATATTAAACATTCATTATGAAGGTATCAAATGATGTATGAACTTGAGTAGGTGTATCCCAAGTTATATGTCGTTAAAGAAGATAAAAAGGGAAAGGTTAAGAATAAGTGCGAGGTAAGAGTATGAAAGTATGAGGAAAATATTAAGAAAAGGGTAGAGTGCATCCCTTCAAGGAAAGTATGAAGGGAAATGAAGAAAGTTAATAGTAGATAGAAACGTGAGAGAAATATTGAAGAATTTAAATAGGAATGACTAAAGTGAGACAAATATTAAAATATTGAAATTGACATAAGTTACTTTAGGTTATAAAGAACACAGACGTTGAGCAGCAATTACAAGTGTCATATAATACGAATATTAATAGAAACAGGCACGAAAAATGACCAGGAGCTGATAGCTAGGGCTAGATACGGTAATCTAATTAAAAATAATAGATAAAAATAATTATTGGTCGAGGAAAGAAAATAAAAATTTCTGTGAAGTTGTAGACGGGTCAAAATGACCCATTCTTGATGTCTCCTTTTGTAATTACTGAAAAATAACAAACGTTCCTCAGAGAAATAATTAAAGAAATTAATTTAGCGATACGCAAACTGAATTGTAAATCAATTAAAGTCTCGATAGATGCACTCTTAGAGTTTCTATAGAGAAATTTCGAAAAGTCAATTTAACTGCTCGGTAGTTTCAGTGTTAATTCTGCTCCTAATGACTGGATGAGTCCTCGACCTTCCTCGAATCGGCCTCTCTTGGGTTCGAGATTTGAAATGCCTGGACTGATCGTTACCTCATTGGGCAGCCTTGACGGCCATAAGCCGTTCAACTGGCTTAGATATCTGTTCGCTCCAGTGACCCCGAAACACAGATGCTATCCCTAATCCGATTTGAATTGGTCCACTGAAATAGGTCTGAAACTGTCTTTGAATACCAGTGAATTTCAATTACAGTAGAATATTCCGTATGCTGCTGCTCGAAATTATTTAATCTTCCTACCCCTGTGTTTACAATTCTTTTTCTAAAAAATGAATTGTATTCAACGTTTTTAAGTTATTAACTAAAAGAATAAATGTGTTCACTTGGATCAGATAATACTATGATTCATCGTTCATCGATAATCAGACAACTTGATTTCACTTAGTGATATGTTAGTCAATATGTTGACGTATACTACTTAAAATTTTAAAGAGTTAATGTCAATACACATTACTAGACTGTAGGGCTCTGTGCATTTATAGAGCAAAGGAAAAGATGGTAATGTGGCCCTCCAGTTTTATATTTTTTTGTAAAATATGATTCGTAATTTGAATTGTTTCAAATTTTTGCGTAAAATGTAGATAAAGTAGTAAGGCTACCTGTGGCAAAAGGTGAAGGTAACAGGGAAAAAGTGTAAGTGAACTTAATATGTATTAAGCAAAGAAATCATTTTTAATATGACTTCTTAACAAAAATCATGATAAATGATTTTGTATAGTATTTTAAGATTAACAGTAAACGAATACAGCAAATTTCTCTTATATACAAAAATTTCAAATTTCTTATATACGATATTCTTTTTACACAATGTGGACTCACTATGTGCTGGTAATTAGGTTAATACATATAATGTTAGTTTAGCGAATACCAATTACCATAAAATACAATAATGAATCCTTTTTAGTAATTATATTCGAAACTATCAATAATTCAGTAATTTCACTTATAAATATCAATTCTACAAATCTTCTATAAAATATATTCCAATAAACGATTGTGTAATTTACTAACAGTAATTTATTAACAGAAATAATAAATTGTGAAGTGTAAAGTTATATATATAATTCTAAGTAGATAGATTTTTCATCACCGTACAGTACAGTGTTAACTTCCAAGAATATTCTGTAAAAAAATTTATTAAATTGATAGTCCTGCTGATATGGTATCAAAAGCTCTTGTAACACCTGTTCACTGATCAGTTCATTCTTTGATATTGCTATTCCGCCATCACACCTGCGCGATAAAAATTAATCAGTTTTGTTTGTATGAGACTTCCTGTTACATCCATCACGTTTTAAAATTTGAGTTTTCATTCGATTTGAAGGATAATAAGAAAAGGTAATTTCAAGCATCAGTTTTCTATGGAATTATTTATAAAATACAATGTTAACTCCTTGCCTCGCAGGTTGTTTTAATTACACAACAAAAATTTTAGAGCTAAATATGCATATACAATATGCCGTCAAGTTATACGCGATTTCGACTAACAGTTAGACAAATCGACTACCGTTCGCTTCAACACCAACTCTCAACTACGAATCTCGTGTCTGGATTCGACTCTACTTTGTAATCCACACCGCTCATCCCTTGCATATCGAAAAAAATCTCCACCTTGTGCATACCTTCGATAAACCTTACCAAGTATGGTAATTCTTTAAAATTATCTTTCTGCCACGCTGTACATCTTACATAACTTATAAGATACTGCAATATAAACAAACTCATGTTGGTAAGTTTAATAATTGCAAAGATAAGTTTCTTTTTAAAGCTAGCTTTCGTAAAAGTCAGTGAAACTTACCAGATGTAAGGGACCATTTGTTAAACAATTTTGTAATCGACAAAGTAATGGCCTTAAATCCAATTTTATCGAAACATCAAACATTGTGTATAAAACAGTGATCGATTGATTGTGCAAAGGTTCATACATCATTGCTAATATTCTCTTTTGATTAAACACGAGTATCAACTTTAGAGCGATTTGATAATCTTACCGTACTTTCACCTACGTAACAATGGAGATTAAGACGGTCTGCATGAAGATATGCAGAATGTTGATATACACCTGATCATAGATTTACGCGGCACTTTCTTACGCGAGTCTCTCTTTTACGCGGTAGTTTTCACTACTTCTTAATTTAATCTTAATTTAATAACACCGAATAAAATGTACTTTTGTTTTCCGAAATGTCGTTATTGTCAACTATTGTCCAGCACCGATCAATGTACTGTAATTTCATAATTAGTCAGTACCATTTGATAATTTTTCTCTCTATAAATTACAATTTTTATACTTTAGCAAATTATCAATTCTTATTATGAAATATTTCTAAACTAATTTCTCTTCCTTCATTAAGTTTCATTTTCACTGCAAATACGTTTTTGGAATGATCGTTTTTGCCGAATCTGCCATAAGATGTAATAAAGATTGTTGTTGATTTTTATCTCTTTTAAAAGTTACAAGAAAAAATCTGTCTAAGTTAATTGAGAGAATTCTATGTTGAAGGAGTTAACAAAATGTCCGTTTCTAACATGAACTAACTTTCCTTGTTGAATTCTGATCAAGAATCTTATCAGTGTTTGCCATATACTCGGCGATTATTTGTCACAACCAATCGTCCTATCGGAACAGCTTTACTTAATTTTTCAAATTGGCGAATACCTATAGAAGAATGTTAAGATATTTTGTCAGGTGTTTTATCAGCAGATGTTCACCATTATCATCAAGATATTTTCTGCGATCGACAGTCAATCGTGACACGTTGACCGATACATATAGAAAATAGTCGATACTCAACTTGCGATTTCCGTTGGTATCGTCACGCGACGTCCGTTGTTACTCGGAACTTTATAAACTAGTAACAGAAATAATTATTGTTTCGTGATATTCTCTCATTCGCCTATAACTTGGAGCCACCAAAACCAATTAGATAAGAAGAAGAAAAACGAACAGTGTTAATGCATTAGTTTACATTGTGATAAAACAATTGATCAATTTACATTGAAAATGTAAAGCGAAACAATTCCACCGGTGAAATGTCTTAGTGATTCTGACGGTGCTCTTATAGTAGTCATTTAATAAATAACGTGATATAATAAACAAGTAATCGGTGAACGTAACAAAGATCTACGGTGAATTTCCATGACCTGTTGTCAAATTTCACAGGATTTACGTGACTTTTTTAGTATACTGCGTTGATCAGCCCTGCTATCTTCTAAGTAAATTTACACTATTTAGTCAAGTACTGAGATATTTTAATCTCGCATTAATCTTATTTGTGTAAGATTAAAAGCCAAACAAAAAGACTTCTTGGTGAACCCATTGTTATCGTTCAGATGACAAAGAACACCGGCTTTCCTAATTAACATAGTTAACGCTTCTAACGAACGGCTTAATTTCGTATCTAAAAGTTCAGTTATAAATGTTAAAAATTACCCGAGGAATGGAAAACGATCATTGAACACAATAACCTATGTGAATTGCGTATAATGCATACATACTTACTGTTCGACGGTAGTCCTCTGATACAGTATACAGAAGATGTAATAAAAAAAAACATTAACGTTCAGGATGTAGATATTATCGGATTGCCCAACAGTTAATGATATCACGCTTGCCTAATTATAGACATTAGTTTCTAATGTTCAACGCACCGTTATTCCCAATAAGAGAATTTCCAAAGTAAGTTTACCGCATTCTTGAATTCTTAAAGAATTTCGCGTGCTCCGAGCGTGTGTCCATAGGTGGGAAATGATCTAATAATCTCAAAGTTCCGTTAACATTGCGGCTAGTTTGCACAACAAGTTTACATTTAACCTGAATGTTCACGTTTCCGACCTCGATGTCCGCCAATCGAACGTTTGAATCGTTCGGCAAGAAAAATGAAAAGAAAATAACCGAATCGCGTAACCTGGCGTGCTATTAAATATAAACTCTATTGACAATCGCGAGTAAAAAGACAGTCCGTGTAACATTGTCGCGAAGCGTCGATCAATGGGAAGACATTGACGCGCTCGATGTTTTCCAGCGGATCCAATTACTCGCGCCGCATCCTCGTCCGTCTTCGATCGACCTTAATTTATATTAAGTCGACTGAGTTGTACGCGGACTGCAATTAGCGATCGAAATAATTTCCTGGTGCTTGTCGGCGTATCAATGCTCCAGTGCGTCAAAAGGTGGCCAGCGATTCGTTTCGTCGAGCTTCGTTGTGCTGCTTCTTTCATGATTTTAGAAAGAAGTAACAGCTTCGAGATTGACTTGACAATCTGTGGAGTCTTAGCCGAAGTCTAAGATCTGCTCGATCCATCAGATTTATCTTGTCGTCTGTCTCGATGGTTGCACACGCCATGGAATACGATGTCTGGAGCAACGACATATGGAGTCCGAAGATTCGGAAGAAGAGCGCAAGGTGCGGGGTAGAGCTTTTGTGTAATCGTTCGAAATAACATGACGGTAATATAGTGACGCGGTCTCTATGAGTAATATGAAAATCAATGAAGACGTGGTCGTAACTCATACACTGAACGTTATTTAATCGCTTATAATAATCGCATTCAACAGGAACGAATGAAGGAATGAAGGAACGTTAAACGACACTGTAATTTGTCAACATTCGTTACTTTCCTTTTGTATTCATTCATGTATGTGCCAGAGTCACTTGTTATTTGTTTATATTCATTGCTTTAAAGCAGGTGCCTTTTAATAGATACTTATAATATAGTCTATAATTTGTACCTATATCATTATATATCATTTCTGTTGTTTAGTTAAATTTCTGTTTTATTCTTCTCTATTTCTTTATTTGCTTATAATTAGCTGGAAAGAATACTATGCAACTGTTGTAACTAAATTTTTATGCAAATTGAAATGTTTCGAAACTATTTTTACAGAAGGGAAGTACCATAAAAATTCTTATTAATAGTTTAGAGATACAATAGTGAAAATGAACTGAAAGTTTCCGTTTCATTGGAGTTTATACTAATTTAACTAACTTATTATATTGGATTTATATATTAATGAATAATCGCAAAAAATTGAGTAAAAAGTGTTACTTACTCAACAAGTGCTGAAAAAACTGTTTTCTTATGGAACACACGGTACTCGGAAAACGGTGTGTATCTTTTGAAGACATCAGTGATTGATCTATAATCTTTTAAAAATAAGACAACAGTTTAAATATAGTATATACCTTTCCTTTTTTTTGTAATTATTGAACATCAGCGTGCAATGTTGAAGGAGAACAAGGAATATTGTTAAGACAACACAGAGTTTGTATGTTCTTAGTAATGAATATTAATTTTGATAGGAAATAATCACTCGTACAATAAGTTGTTAAGTTTTCAAAGACACCGAGTAACTGTGTTGCACGGAAAGTTCTTGCGAATTTTTCATCATTTGAAACAAGACGTCCTCTTCTTTAAATGTTCTACATTCCAGTAAACATGAAAATCTCAATCAGTTTTGAAAAATATTTTACATTTTCGAAAACGAAAAACCGTAAGACGTATTGACTAATCTATTTATAGACTCACAATGAAGAATCACGAATGTAAGCTTGATTTGATTCACAGTTTATTTTCTTATATGTTACAGTCATCTTTCTAAGCCGCTCAGTAGAAGCACACCATCCATGGCAGCTGGTGGTGTTGTACCAGTCGCTCCAGGAAAGGTTAGCAGATCTTCGTCCACGTCCTCACCAACGACTACCAGCAGTGCTAGACAGAAGAAATTCCACAGGCATTTCTCTCAGGTAATTGAAAGAAAGTTTCCCTCGCGCGTTTTCATGCAACACTTTCACAACATCATCATAAACTAGATTGCTCGCCAATTCTTTCACTAAAATTCACTGTGTCACGTAAGACTTTCCTGGTCTGGAAGCACCTCGTCTAAATTCACTTTTGAAGCTTTGTTTCTGAAACAAAAGAAAACGGAATTGCCGTCGGAAATGTGTTGGAGACTTGTTCAATATTTTCTGATACTTCCTTTTGCAATAATTAAGTATTTACGGCAATTTAATATGCTATTTTAGAATATGTTCCTTTTTATAGGCAAAATGAAAAGAAAAGATTATATTGATTCTAACGTTTTACCCGAAAGAAGCCCTTAATGTTAATCTTCAATCTTAAGATTTAAAACACATCGAAAGAAAAATGTTGACATAGTTTAACAAAGTTTTGGTATTATAAAATTTCTCAGGCTATCTGAGTTTTACAGATCAATTTATAGAAATTAAAATTAAGAGAATTACTTTATTAATGGTCTTATTATACTCCAAACAAAGTAGAGCTTTGATTCAAGAAAGGTTTTTCTATGCTCAGTTTTAAAGCTTCACAGCTAGTATAAATGCATAAAGTTGTAATCTGATTCTAAATTTTTCCAAGCACACTCAACCTGCTTTATATTTAACGTTAAACCTGTATCGATTAATAATTTATTTAAATCAATGGACAATATACTACTTAATTTTCAGTCCAAAATGTTTACGACTCGCAATTTGAAAACAGCCTGCTTTAAGAGCATTTTAAAATGATAAAGTTATTCTCCCTTTCCCTTTTCCAAGTTTGCTTTAATATCTGCTATTTAATTAAAAATGACTATTAATATCACTATTAATACATAATATCTGAACTCTTTGATCACCAGGTTGCTGCGGACGAACGAGTACTAAATTATTACAGCTGCGCGCTGGTAGGCGACATCTTACTACAAGGTTACTTATACATCACGCCGAACTACTTTGCATTCTACAGCAACGTGTTCGGATATGTAACGAAACTATTGATACCTACGGTCTCGGTGTTGAAGATCAGCAAAGAGAAGACCGCGCGAATCATTCCAAATGCCGTGGCGATCGCTACCGAAGAGGAAAGACATGTTTTCGGTTCCCTTCTGTCGAGGGACTCGACCTTCAAGCTGATGAAGCAAGTTTGGGACGCTGCTATGGAACCGCAGCCGTCGCCCAAAATTCTACCACTAACAAATGAACAAAAGCTCCTTGCACCAGACACACCGGTGGTCGACGACTCCGAGGTTAACCCCGAAGAGGATGACTCCAGCATGTCGGAAAGCGGGACGGATTTGAATTCCAGACCGCCGACCGTTTGTACCGATACTGACGGTGTTTCACCGCCACCAGTCACCAGGCCCACTTTGCCACCGCCCGTCATGTAAATAAAGTTTTGTCTGTTTTTCTAAACTTGTTAACCACTTGGATGTTTACGGCTCACAACAAAGTGAACACTATTTACTGCACACAGTGCGTAAATGTACAAATGTGAATTTAGTTTCTAAACTTATACAGTTTGACTAATGGGAGTGGAAATTTTTATAAGTCAAATATTAAAATTTAGATGTTTTCAAATGATATGCTCAATTTAAATGTGGAAATCTATAAGAAATTTAGTTATATTCGTACGGATTGTCAATGTCGTTTAATTGTTAGTTGGTTAGAAAGTAATGTAAAACTTTTGTCACACTTTGCAAATTAATTATTCTTTTTCTATATATTTTCAGAATCGAGCCACAATCGGTACCAATTCTCCCAACCATATCCAGCAGATCCAATGTTCTTTTATCCTTATTCACAGGTGGACTGAAAACTAGTACCGTGATAACTATTCTCATAGCCCTCTTAGCAGCTCTCTATGTGTCGGCAGCGCTAATGATGATTCGCATTGACAAACTACACACAGCTTATCTCAACCATCCCCTCGTTTCACCAGAACGTTTCACACAGGATCGGCTTTTGCATTACTTGAACACAAACCTTGATCAAATAATAAAGGTAATATATTACTAAAATTCCTTAATCTTTAACGAACAATTTGGTTTCACATACACTTTTTTTGTACACAATAAAATTCTATTAGAATTCCTTCGAAAACAAGCATTCGAGTTAATTTGATACATTAAAATAAGTAGAATTACTTTTCATTTCCACTAAATATAGCATTCTAGTATTCTGTTTATGACAAGTATTTTATTGAAATTGCTACGTCAGAATACTTTTAGAACACAGAAGATTAAGGCTAATCATTTTTATACTAATATAGACATAAACTAATTTTTTTATTTAAAATGAAAAATAAAAAACGTTGTTTATTCTTATATTGTTTCAGGTGAGGCAGAGTTTGCAAACGTTGTCACAGCAGTTCGTGTCAATGAGCCAAAGTAGTGAAACGAACCCAGCCGTGTCTGCCGGCGCGATAGAACCGGAGGACGCTCCGAGTTAGCCTCCGACAAGGCTGAATAATTTAATGCAACCAAATAATACGAGTCCCCGTCGCCTCGCTAGCGTATGAAGCGTCTCGTATTAGTACATCGTTGTCTTCGTCATCTCCGTGTCGATTTATTTGACGCGTGCATAATACGGGCTGACTGACTGATTGACAGAGTCGCTTCGACGGTTCTCAAAAAAAATAGGCATTATCATTGTTAGTGTAATCTAGACTTCCGGGGCTCTGAGAATAGGAACGAAGTTACACGAAACGTCGAAATGAAATGAAATGAAGTGAAATGAAATGAAATGAAATGAAATGAAGTGAAATGAAATGAAATGAAATGAAATGAAATGAAATGAAATGAAATGAAATTAAAAAGAATGTCTAAGTAAACTAAGAAAAGCAGACAGGGAACTTTGTAAAAGATTTTCCTAGATCGCGCATGCGTAACTCGATTCGACTTTCAGTCACGCTTACAAGTATTAATTAAAAGAAAAAGTACGCGAATAAAAAACGTAAAAAAGAAAAAAACAACTGATGCTTGAATACGACAAGAGATACGACGTGCAAACATATTTATTTATATGCACGTGAACACGAATATCATGCGCGTGTAAAACCGTTGTACGTTGTGTATTTGATGTTAATAATTCGGTGAGTGCAAAATTACTCGAGCGTGTAGGGACTTTCGTCTGTTTTTTTTTATTTGAACTAGTCACGTATATATATTATACTATATACATATAAATATATATATGCCCCTACATACGACAAGGGTGTATTGAACACAGTGGTATATATATATAAATATAAATAATATAAATGGAAGCTATATATATATATATACACACAAACACACATACACATACATAGAATAATGCATATTTCGCGATTATTTGTTGATTATTATGTATTCAGACTAGTTGGGGCACTACCTTTTTAACCAATGTAGCTGTTTTACAGCATAGAAAATAAGTGACGGTTAATTTTGTGCAGGGGTTGGAAATGGTTATAATACTGATTTCGATTATTGAAAAAATTGCAAGTATACTGCAAAACTTTATGCATTCTTAGTATTAAAAAATCTTCAACAGATCGTAAAGTGCAATACTTATTAGAGTTCAATATACTTTCATTTTATTTTTAATTTAGTGACTGTATTGATAAAGAACAGATAAATTGCTTGCAATTAGTTTCTTTAAATTTGCGCTTTTGCAATGTAGTTGTTTGCAAATATCATAAATGCAGTTCAGTGATAATAGTTTCGTAGAAATATAACTGGAAGTAATAGAAACCAAAACTTGTTTCATTTTGATTCTTCATAAGTGTTTTAGTCAGAACTTATGCATAATAGTTATAAAACAATTCTTTTCCAAACCGTTTCAACTCCTGCTTTCGCGTCCTATCGAACAGAAATTCTATGTTAATTACACGTGGAGAGTAATAAAATGCGAAATGGAAAGCTTACGGGTTTGCGCGGTGTTTCGATCGTTTCATACACTAAATTTTGTCTCTTGAACATCGAATACCGCACCTTTTCGGACGAAGGTTGCATTTTTCGCGCACACTGGTGTTCCTACAAAATTTTGCCATCGTTGTGAAATATGACGCAATGATGGAATTATTTTCTTGGTTATTTAAAGAACAATTTTCTTTTCTTCGAGTCGAGGCGACGAAGATGCGCGAAAGTGTTAACGATATACAGTGTTTATAACGATTTGGGCCATTTAAACCATATGTTTAATGAGTTCATCGGGTAAACAAAATTTCTACTGAATTACGTCTGCAAATACCATAATAAAGTCAATTTTGTTAAGTTTTGAAAAAATCAATGAATGTTCTTATAATATTATGTTTCATAATTTTTTTGTATTTGTATTAGAATTTTTTATAGAATTACATTAACTTATTTTCGAATGTTAATCATTCTTTGATACAGAATAGACGTATTGTCATACGAACTTTGATTTGACCACTTTCAATTTATAAACCATACTATTTATATAATTATTGGAATATGTTATTGATCAAAATAATATGACTTTATTTCTGATGAAAGAAACAAATAACATGAAATCGAAGCGAGTTCTGTTATTAACAGTCAATAATTATATTAATAATGGCAATTGATGCTTATAATATCATACGAATTTTTGTCAGTTATTTGACTACTTTAACCCCTACAACCCGAGATCGGTATAGCGTACCGAGCCACTAGTCATCGTATGCGACTGAACCTTCTTTTTTATATCAACTTATAGTATATATTTTGAATAAAAATTATCCTATACAATGATTCTTTTTATTTCATTTTTTAAATATGAAATTGTAAAAGAAAAATTTCTTTTGACATGTCAGTCGTATGTGAAGACGTACGGCATATGTTCGTGTGGTCGAAGGGGTTAATATATAACTTGGCGCCAACTTGTTGGACACTTTGTATATCTCATTGCACTAACATATTTCGATACGATTGCACGTATGTTCTTATATGTAATGCAAGACATATTTGGAGCGAAGTGTTAATTATATTTGCAGTGAAAATGTGGAATTACAAAGAACGGGAGACTTGACTGTGATAGTAGGATCGAGGACGCATTTTGTTAAAACACGGCCGTGTTTATCGAATTGTTGTTGTTACATCGTGAAAAAGTAGCAAAGAAAGAGGGTTGCTTCGATCCGGATTAAGTAGACATTCATTGTATAAATACGGCCGTATTTTTCAGATCACATGGGATCTAAGAGATGTGCTGTTACATTCTTTAGCTATATTTATAACGAAAAATGTATATGTACATCAAGCAAAATTCACTTAAATGTTTATTTCGATATATTATCAATTATTGCAATTAAATATATCACTCTACCGCGTTTATTATTAATTTAGAATTATTTTAATGATACCCTAAAATATTATATTTTTTATTGCCGATGGTTGTGGAACGTATTTTATATTGTACACCATGGATTGAAAAAATTCTGAACAAAATAGTATTTGCAATGCAAAAAGTAAATGGTTTATTTTTTACTATGTGTTAATGATAATTGATATTCTATAACAATTTACTTCTATGTTAAATTAGATTTGACTCTTCAAGTCCATAATGGATGTCGTTGCTGTAATAATGTAAGTTGAACTACCTTAAATATTATATTCAATAGGAACTTCTCATAATTTTCATTTTACATTTCTTCCATAGAATATGTTATTAGAATAAATGTTTCTAGTAATGTTAGATTTAACACCCTAATGAGATATACATTTTTAAATACTATTTTGTATTAGCAAGATTATTTAAGCGATTTTTTGGAAAAAGAAAATTACATTTTCTTGATAGATGAGAAATCCATGGTGTTAAACATACATTGAGAAAATCATAAAGTGGGAATTACTTTATATATTGGTTGTCGATTCAGTAATTTAATTTATTTTGTAAATTTTATGAATTTGCAGTATATAAACATTTGCACAGTTTAAAGTGTTTTATGTATTTTATGTATGTTGATTGATTTTATAAAATTTTTAATTGGTATGCCTTTTATTGTATAGATGAGTTTGGAGTCGAAGAGAAACTTGTGCCTGGCATGTGTGCCATAGAAAAGGAAAATTGATTGCATTCTAAAAAGAAACAATGGAGGAAAATGTATGGTCCTTAATGATGAAACAAATTATTGAGATTTGTTTGTTGCATATGTTTGTCAAAACTTCTTTTATAATAACTGTATAAGAATCAAAATTTTTTAAATTTAAAGAAAAAATATTTGAACGAAGCAATTGGATGATAATTGCCACTGAAGAAAACAAAATTAGAAAAGGCAAGTGTGATAGTTAATGCTTGTGCCAAATTTTTTAATCATTGGACTTCCTATTTAAAAGATCAGAAAACACACGTTTTATATTTGTGGCAAATAAATTAGTAGGCTAAACAAAATTTATCTTTAAATTTCGGTAATGAAAATGCGTTCAGTAAGGCGATGTTTATCCAGTTAATCCAGCTTGAGACTGTTCCATGGAAATGAAATAAGAGGAAGAGAATTTAAGTCGTCCGGAGGTGATGATTTTTCCTTTCTGTTTCTATGTAATATTTTTTGTCTTACTGTAACAATTCTAGACGATTTAGATGAATGCTCAACTTATGATCCATTTTCCTTAGAACGTACAATAACTATGAGTAACAGCTTCTGATTTATACTTGCTGTGGAAACAACAATTGAACTTTTAGCTATACATTTCAGAATCTGATGTCAAGTTCAATTATATAAAATGAATTTACATATATTGAGTGGATAATAATAATGGACAAAGTTGAGTTAATTTTCTCGCATATATTAATTTTTCCACAAAGTATACCTTCAGAGTTTCAAATAGTTGTAACTAGCTAAAACTGAACTTTGTCCAGGAAAATCGATTGTATAAAATTCTTAACCCATTAAGCCACACATGAAATAAAATTTTATCTCAAGCTTTGTATCTAGACGGCGGAAGTTTATGCAAATTCATATTTTTATAGACAGATTTGACGAAAATGAAATTAAATACGATTTCCCGTATCGATGGTTTTAGTAGGTTAAAAAGAGAATAAAAAAAAGTAACATTATATTAAAATTTCGATTTTGTTTTGTTTTGAAAATTATTTTAAGCTATAAATGTATAAAAGTCTGCAG